GATAATCTGTAGATCATCTGTAGATTATCTGCAGATCTGCTACAGATGTGCCAGCAGATCTGTAACAGACTATAAACAGATCTGCTCGTTTCGTACGGGTAACCCAGAGTGGTAAGTTAAAAGGCTTGTTTGTAGCCAGTTGGACAAAATCTCTCGGATGGAATGACATCACAAAAATGTGGCCTAGCTGCTGAGTACTGTTCAAAATGGCAGCAACGATGTTCAAATTTTGGGCTTCTTTGGAGACAAATTTCGCAAGGAAAACCTGCACTTTAGGGGCTGAAACCTCGGTGAGTAGCTAAACTTAATAGTGCAAGGCTTTTATTAGCACTGACAAAAAAAAATATACTTTTTTGGAGTGACCTTCTCCTTTAAGTTTGAAAAATGTGTAAAATATGCAAATGACAGGACTGATGATGTCATACACTCAAACCAGTATTATATTACATCAAGTAGAGACCATGCAGCAGAGATCATTGAAACTTGGTAGGCTTATGGTTCTACAGGCAACACACTTATGCCTATAAAAATTATGTTCCCATGGCAACTCACTCTTTTCCACTCCCCTCTAACCTAATTTCAATAATTCTGTGCTTTTCAGCTCAAAAAACATTAATCAAGGCCATGATTTTGACCTTGCAAAATAAATGCTTGCTGAATCGTGCAGGTAGAGCACCAATGACAAATATCAAAATGGAACTCTAAAGGTGGCCAGAAAAGTCCAAAATATCAGGAAGGTCTGGACGCAGTCTGTTGCCATGGCAACAAAACTGTTAAGCTCATAATATGAAGCACATCTGCAAATTTCATCACACTGGTACTTTAAGAACTGTCCCCAGGGGCCCATGGTCCCTAAAACCTAGACAATAAATTTCATGACTTGTCTGGGGCAATGAATGATCTAAATGGTATGTGGGAGACTCCTAGAATATTTGCAAGAATGTACTACTATCTCTTTGCAGGCACTCATTAGGCACTAACACTACTAACATGGTTGAGTTTGGAAAATAATTTTTCTTTTAAATTTATGATATTTTGAAATATTCCCCTCTCCCATCTAGCCTTCTGAATCATGTGTACTTAAGGCATCTGGCAGCCGTGTATTGATCAATACTATCGGCTGATATGTCAACTGACACTTGGCCGACATATCGACCAATACGCAGTCAATATGTTGACTGACACTGTTGATGACCATGCATGTTGGCCGACACTGGGCTGATACCTCACCGACACTCGGCCAACACTTGGTCGATACTTCACCGACACTCAGCCAACACTACGCTCATTTGGTCGGCTCTTGTGTCTGACTTCTATCTTCTCTACTCAAACATTAAATAATCTTCTCTAGCCCTTTGAGAGGGTCTTTTTTCGGCAGCCCTCACCCGTTTTTGACTTTTCATACCGGTAACATTCTTCTATCTCAAAGACTGCTTTTTCCAGCTACATGTATGCTTG